GCCTGAAGAGTCCCAGCCCTACTTGCCATGGCCGCATGGATGGAAAATCTGGACGGACAGCTACATGTCATTAAAGAGTGTAGATAAAGGCAACATCAGTCTTCCCTAGTGAATTTTTATCCTATACCATGTTGTCAGATCTAAAAATACATATATTCATCAGCAAAATGAAGTTAGGACATTATAAATATGTATATAGTGCTAATTATAATAAAACAGCATATTTAATGCCTGTTATTATATACTATATTTAGAAATTAGAATATATTATTTTATTTGGATAATTAAATAGGTAATTAAAAAGGAGGCTTTAAATTTGAAAGACAGCTAGGAGATAAGGGATGTGTCATCTCTAATACTCATAGGAGGAATATTGGGCACCCTTTAGATGCTAGATCTTCTTTCCAATAGCATATTAATTACACAAAATAATGAGTCTCATCATGTATGATCCCTTACAAGGAAAGGATCTGACAATGTGTCACAAAGTTCTAAATCAACTTCTAGAAGACATCTAGTTAGCTTGACAGCTCTTACTGTTCTAAACCTCAGCATGTGTGGAACATGATTTCATAGTAAATGTTATTAGTGTCATGTGCTCTCTGAGGCATGGTGTGTGGGTTGTATTGTAGAACACTATCTATGTCCTACATAGATAAGGGTACACAGGTCTTACAGGGATCATTGTGAAAACATTGTCTATATCCTACACCCACTATCTTCCTACCACTGAGAGTTTCAGAAATGCAATTCCTCGTACCTCAATAGTCTCTAATTAGTCCATTTTCTACACTGAAAACTCTTTGAGTAACTGTTTAGTTTAGGCTCCTTAGCAGTGACCTCCGTAGTATTGAGTCCATTGTCAATCATCTGTGTCTTCCCTCCTCTTGTGCATCTTCCAAATCCAAACATGTTTGACTACACACCACGTCCTCTGTGTTTGGCTCCAAGTGCTTTGCCCCTCAAGTTTCAGGCATTTGCATCTCCTCTGTGACACTCATATTTGCCTTTGACACCTAGGGTCTTAGTGGTTTGGGGGAGCACCTTTTCCCTACTCAGATATGCACTGACCAATATTCCCCAGTTAACTTTATTTTGTGCACTCATTTATCTTCCCTCGTGTTTTATCCTCCCCCAACCTGTTCTGTTACTGATAAGAATCAAATAGAAAATGCTTTCAAAGACTTTGGTTTTGCAGGATATACCCCAACATTGGTATTATGTAGAAAAATGGTGGACACTTTTGAAGGATAAAGAAAACCAGTGGCAGTCAGCAAGTCTGTGAGTCCTATTCATAAAATTCTTGTGTCCTGAGCCAGTTGTTGTTGGTGCATGCCTTTAATCCCAGCACTCAGGAGGCAGAGGCAAGCAGTTCTGTGTGAATTCGAGACCAGCCTGGTCTCCAGATTGAGTGCCAGGATAGGCTCTAAATCTACACAGAGAAACCCTGTCTCAAAAAAAATATTCTTGGGTCCTAACCCTTAGTTGTAGGTTTTATTAAGTTCATTTATTACGCTGAGGGAATATCCCTGTATTTCTTGTTACTTCATGCAAGGATGCTGGATCTGTCAAAAGTATTTATGGCATCAGGGAAGCCCAATTCAATGTTTCTATCAAATCCATACCCTCAGAGCTCAGACAAGCTCATCACAGAGGAGGTAAGAGCCAGGGATGAATGACACCAAGAGAACAAGGCTCTCTGAATCAAATGAACAAATCTCCTACGAACTCAGGGAGACAGAAGCCAAAAGCATTTTTCTTCTAGTCCTCTGCATATATATTCTAGCTGTCGCTTTAGCATTTGTATGAGTCTGCTGAGTTTATGAATGAGGGGGTCTCTTATTCTTGTGCCTTCTCTTGGGACATTTACTTTTGTTGGTTTGCCTTGTGCTGTCTCAATGAGATATTTTAATAAATTTGTGTTTTATCTTGTTATGCATTGCTGTTATGTCTCAGAAACCTATTCTTTCACAATGACAGAGAGGAAGTGTGTGAGCATGGAAGAGGAGGTGGGGAGTAGAGGGAAGAGACACTGCAATCAGGATATATTGTATAACAAAATAATCTATTTTCAATAAAAATGGAAAAAGAAAGAATATTTTGCATCACACAATAAGATAACTAAGTGATATCTGTCTTTGAGTCCATCTGTGTGATGTCCTACATTGACAACTGAATATAGTTTAGTCATCCCTATATCATGGGATAAATTGTGATACCACTTCATTTTAAACTAAAATCACTCTATTTTAATGAACACACAAAAAATCATTAAAGAGCTGCAATGAAATAGAGACAAATTCAGTATATTTCAATTTACTTCCATGATTTAGAATAGCTATGCTGCAACCACGGAGCTTTGTTTAGAGTTATACACTGTCGCTAGCAATTGTGTATTATGCCCTTATCTATCACAGAATGAGAAAGTGGCAGAGTTGAAAATAGAAGATTTATTATCAGGGATCCCATTCCCACGGAATCCAACACACCCAGAGTCTTCCAAGTCCCGGGTACCAGTCCTGCCTCCATCTACCGGACCAGGTAGTGTAGAGGCTGTTTCCAGATCAGCTTCTGGGACCAGGTAGTGTAGGGGCTGTTTCCAGATCGGCTTCTGATGCCCTGCTCAGAGACACCTGAGGCCGGGGGACTGCTCGCGGGATCCCATTCCTGCGGAATCCAAATCACCAGAGACTTCCAGGTCCCCAATACAGTCCTGCCTCTGTCCACCGGACCAGGTAGACTACAGACTATTTCTGGTCTGGCCTCTGCTACCCTGCTTGGTGACTCCTGAGGCCGGGGGACTGCTCAAGGGACTCAAATTTGGGATCCAACACACCCAGAGACTGCCTAGGTCCCAGTACCAGTCTGTGCGAGTTGACATTCCTACCGTCAGTGGAGGAGTGCTGCCCTTTCTCCACATCCTCTCCAGCATAAACTGTCATTGGTGTTTTTCATTTTAGCCATTCTGACAGGAGTAAGATGGTGTCTCAGAATTCTTTTGATCTGTTTCCCTGATGGCTAAGGATGTTGAACTCTTTCTTATGTGTCTTTCAGCCATTTTAGATTCCTCTATTGAGAATTCTCTATTTAGTTCTGCACCCCAATTTTTAATTGAATTATGTGGTTTTTGAGAAACAATCCTCCTGAGTTCTTTGTAAATTTTGGAGATCAGCCCTCTGTCGGATGTGGGGTTGGTGTAGATCTTTTCCAAATCCGTGGGCTGTCGCTTTGTCGGCTTTGTTTGATCTTATTTTATTTTATGTTGTTGTGTTTTGTAGTTGTATCTCACAAGCCTATTCTTTTGTAATGAGAGACAAAAAGGGGTGGATCTGATGGCAGGGAAAGTGTGGAGACCCTGGAAAGATAAAGGGAGAGGAAACTCCTTTCAGATTAAATACTGTGAGAAAGGCAATCTATGTTTAATAAAATGTGGACTGTAGTCTGGTGGTGTGGATTGTAGTCTGGTAATCCTTTGCTCTACATCTAGTATCAATACATGAGTGAGTACATACCATGCTTGTCTTTCTGTGACTGAGTTACCTCACTCAGGATGATTTCTTCCAATTCCATCCATTTTCTTGCAAATTTCAAGATTTTATTGGTTGTTTTTTTCACTGAGTAATGCTCCATTGTGTAAATGTACCACATTTTCTCCATCTATTCTTCAGTTGAGGGGCATCTAAGTTGCTTCCAGGTTCTAGATATTACAAGCAATGATGTTATGAACATAGTTGAATCTAGGCAGTAGTGAAGAGGCTGCCTTTGGTTCCCTTCCCCTATAATGAGATTGATGACTACCTTATATGCCATCCTAGAGACTTCATCCAGTAGCGGATGGAAAGAGAAGCAGGTACCCACAGTTAAGCACTGAGCCATACTCCTGGAATCCAGTTGTAGAGAGGCAGGAGGGATGAGTTAAGGAGTCAAGACCTTGTTGGAGAAACCTACAGAAACAGCTGACCTGACCTAGTGAGAGCACAGGGACCTCAGTCGTAAAGCTGGGGAACCAACATTGGGCTGAACCAAGCCCTCCAAATGTGGGTGCCAGTTAGGAGACCTGGGCAGTGTATGGGACCTCTAACCATGGAACCAGTATCCCTAGTGCTCAAATGGACCTTGGGAGCTCATTCCCTATGGATGGATACTATTTCAGCCCAGATACACAGAGGAGGGCCCTAGGCCCTCCCCCAAATTATGTGACAGACTTTGAAAATTCCGATTGGAAGACCTTACTGTCCTTGGAGAGTGGGTGAGGGATGGTTGGGTGGTCACTGGGTGTAGGGGGCCGGTTCCTGCATTATCCATTACAATAATGGTGCCTGAAGACACCAAGATGTAAATTACTTCAACAGGCGCTGGGTAATCTCCATTCCTTTGATCTCTGCCTATCCCGTGGCTCATTTGGCCTGAGGAGCTGAAGCCATTCATAGGGTA